CAGATCATTAATTGAGTCTTCTTCCTATCTTGATGACATCTTCTTCAGAGTCCAGCTTCTCAGATTTTCTTCTTAGCATACAGATCAAATAAGTATGGTGAAAGGATACAACCCTGGTGCATACCTTCCCTGATTTTAAACCATACACAGTATCCCCCTGTTCTCTTCAAAGTGAGGATGGCAAGACTTTGTCTCACACCGTTTGGTTATGTTATTGGGAGGGACCAGTCCCTGGAGAAGGACAAAATGGTTGGTAAAGTAGATGGGCAGTGAAAAGGAGGAAGACCCTTGACAAGATAGACTGACACAGTGGCTGCAACAATGGGCTCAAGCATATCAATGGTTGTGAGGGTGGTGCAGGACCAGGCAGTGTCTCGTTCTATCCTACACAGGGCTGCTATGACAGAAATGACTCAATGGCATCTAACAATAAAAAACACTGGTCTAGCACAACCAACATTTCATATTAAACTATCCCTAATATATACTCAAAAAAGCAATAAACACCTAGTAGAAGAAATTATCCCCAAAAGCAACCCACTAATTCCAGGATACCAAAGATGTATCTGTACATCCCAGAAATCAAGAACAGTTTAGATCTGGTAGGTAAAGTGAAGGAAGTCTTTCAAAAGCATGAATTTTGTTCAAGGGAAACTGGGAAAGTAATTTAAGAAACAACATTTCAAATAAAAATGATGTGGTTCCAATAGAAATTACCTCCTTATAGTCTCCATTTCGGTTTAGTCTATAACCCTCAGGAGTGTGAAGCTGAACAGTTGTACTATTGATCACTTCAATGCAACCCTCTTGATCAGGAAAGCTCAATGGACGTACCCTACAGTATACCTGAAAAGGCAGGAAGGAACGAAGGTTGACTTTTGCCTTATGATTTTTTATTTAAGCTCCCCATTCATTCATTCAATAAACATTTAGTATTACATTGTGTAAAAGTGATGAAGTTATATTACTAATAACATAAAAGTCACTCTAAAAACCGACAATCTATCACACAATGAAAATTCTTTTAAAAGGTGTTAGAATTCTTTGAACTAGATGCCAATTAAAACTGCTAATTTAACCTAACACTTAATATACTTAATATATAAATAAGTGTATGCAAAATTTGACATTTGTGGTCTTCTTAATCAGTGTCAGGCTGTGGAGAAACCTATTCAGCTGTATGCAAAACATCTGGTTCTTTCAGCTCAAACCCAGAGACAAGATCCAGTGCCAGTGAAGGACAGATTTAAAATACCTGAGAATCTCCTCAGAGCAAATCAACCCTTTTATTTGCCATTTTTGCTTTTAAAACGAAGTTCCCAAGACTGAAACTGGTGAAATACTTGCAATTATGAGCGGGCATTACATTGAATTAAATTATTCTGTAACAGTCTTTATGAAATTTGGTCCCAAGAAGCAGAGTCTGGGACTTTCCTAATGAAGCTTGCCATCAATTACTGTATGCAATACTAAAGATGGGAGAAAACACTCATCCAATCAGAAAGACTTCCCCTATCCCAGAGAATATGAACCAAGGTAAAAAATATTTGTAATTATCTAATTTTTCAAATTATAATTAGTTATAAGAGGCAAACAATCGACAACTGAAGATTCCATTTTACCGGACTAACGAATCCTACATAGAAACAAAAATTCACAGCTAGCACCAGCTTTACATAACTAACTCCACTCTTTGACTCTACTTCCTTATCTCTTCTTCCATTCCTTCCAACTGAAAGAAACAGAACTGAGGAAAGAACACACACATAAATCCACAGGGTGACCTTACCCCAACTGGGTCTTTAAGATTTGTTTGGGATCCTTTCTTCACTGGAGGTTTCCTAGGCGTCTTAGTCCTCCTGATCATAGATTAAAAAAAAAAAAAAAATTTCAGTTCAACACTATCATACAAAAACCTCATCTATAATTTATAGAGTCAGTCTTTCTAGGGTTAATAAAATTATTCCACAGCAGTTCCAAAACACTGTTCCCCAAAATAACATGAATAATAAACTGCATTAGTAGAAAAGTGTTTGTGGCATGAATAATCCAAAAATAATTAAAACTGGTTTATAATACAGTTTTGGTACCAAGTGTTCCTACTTATTCTTTGATTAGTTCTGTATTTTAAATAGCTTGCATATTTTCTCAAGCAACAGTTTTAGAGGTAACTATGAATTTGAAAAATCCACAGATAACTGACCACACTTATCTTTAAGGGCATTTATTTAAAGGCACAAAGATACACACTGCACCACCGCAACTGGCAAGGCAGAATGACAAGCAGTTAACTTCAGTACATTATAAAAATGCAGATGGAGGAATTCATTCTTTCACGAAGATTTATGTCTATATTTTCAAGGAAGAAATGATCAATGAATTCTCAAAACCATCAACATACATAATGTAGTCCCAAACTGTAAATTTCTTGCTCTTACAGTTTGAGTAGGGACAATAGGAAAAAAAAAAAATTTGGACTTATTTCACCATTCTCTACCATGCCACTTTCCCTCCACATTTATCTGTTTGCTGTTGTAGTTATGTACCGTGGAGTCGAACCCAACTCATAGCGACCCCTCCTTGGGTTTCCAAGGTAGCATCACTACGGAAGTAGATTGCCCAAACTTCCTTTGGAGGAGTGGCTGGTGGGTTAGAACCGCCAACCTTCTGGTTAGCAGTCACTAAGTGGTTAGGCACTACGCCACCACAGCTCCTATTATTTATAAGCGAGATGAAAATTTAATACTGAAATTAAGTAAAATAATTCACTTGAATTGTGGTTTATTAAAAGATTTTTCTCAACATTTTCCCAGACGAAATGGAAGCAAACTGGTGTTATTAAGAGCAAAATATTGTGGCAGGTTTATTTCAACTACACATTTGTTTTTGCTTTTTAAGATCTTGGCTTTAGTCTCTAAAGAAAACAAGTTGTCTTCTGCAAGCTGCTAGCTACATTATAATAATTATAAACTCAAGCCTTCTTTGCACAAGTACTTCTTTACTCTGTGTCAGTCATGGAATTATGGTTTTTCGAAAATATTTTGTCACCTACTCAGTAAGGAATGTGGGCGTGCGTGTTTGTGTTTGGGGGCGGGGGTTGCTGTGGCCAAAGAATAGAGGAAAAGTAGTAGCTCTATAAAAAAAACGACGGTCTCGGCCTCAAGGCTACGGTGAGGCTAAGAAAAGCATGCAGTGCTCACGAATGCCAAGGCTCTCTAGAGGCTGAGACCACCTAACCAGCCCCCTATCAGAACACAACACGGCTTAGACCTGCGACGACAGTCGCCTGCAGACTAGCACTAACTGTAACATGCAATCTGTGTGGGCACTAAGGAAGGAGAAAGGGAACGTGAAAATGGGTTGAGGAAGGCAGTCCCAAAGGCAGGTGGACGACAACGTGGCTAACGGGAAAAAGAGTCAAAGCATAAAAACCCTTGGCTCTGTAACTAGTTTCCCCGCCGCTGAAGGCCAGGGCGGGGCAGTGGGCGCCCAGCTCACGGGTGGTGGGAGACAGGGGGCGCCGAGGACCAAGTCTCCGCGCCGGGCTTTCACCCCGAGTGGCCACACGTAGGGGCTCCCACTTTAGGGGCACCGGTAGCGGCGTGAGGAGACGCGCCGGCCTCTCACACTGTGGCCGGGGCCACCGGCTCTAGCCCAGACCTCCCACCCACCCTGCTCCTCTGCCTGGTACTCACGCTGGCTTCATGACAGCAGGCTCCGTGCTGCCCCAAAGCGCGCGCAGGCCTCCAGACTCGACCTGGCCGGCTGGCAAACACCTCGAATCGCAGGGACCAGCCCCGGGAATGAATACCCGGCTCAGTCTCGTCGCTCCGTGAAGCCCGTAAAACGCAGGTAGGCTCGCGCCCGGCGCATTTCAAACGGACCAATCAGCGCCAGCTCTCGGGTAAGGGGCGGTCCCTCCGAGCAAGAGACTGCCCTGACGGAAATGGTGCCGGTTTCCTAGACGACGGACTGAGATGAGGGGCGTCTGGGTTTCAGGGTTGGAGGGCTCGAAGAGAAAAATCAGATACTACGAAATTCAACCCCTTCCATTTTCCGAAAAGGAACTAAAGATTTACTTTCTTACAAGACAAGAAGTTCAATGACAGGGCAATTCCAGAGCTGATTCAGAGGTCAGTTATGTCGTTCCGGATCAGGCATGTCCTGTTCTCGCGCTCTGTCCTCCTCAGTCTCAGACTCCCACCCTGGCTACCAAGACACCACAGCATCTTGGCTGCTTCTGCCTGATTCACCCGAGATTCTCCCTTTCTGATTCCTCCGATTCTTTCCTGTATATACATTATTTTATCAAATTCTCTATTGTGTTTATATGTATGCCCTGGAATAAAGAAATTAATAAAAGTGAATCTTTACCCTTGAGGTGCAACCTCAGAACCTGCTCTTCTCTTAGATTAACTGATTCCATCTCACATTTTCAACTTTTGTCCCTCAACTGATGACTATCAAATATGCATCTGCATGTGTGCTCTCATGGAGCTCTATTAGTACCTTCTCCTAAACTTCCTACAAGAACACTGCACTGATAAGAGAGATATCAGTCTACCAGTTCCCCAGCATTCCAGTCCATCCCAACTGATGGCAGCTCCATGTGTGTCAGAGTAGAACTGTGCTCCATGGGGTTTTCAATGGCTGATTTTTCAAAAGGAGATCACCAACTCTTTCTTTTCAGGTGTCTCTGGGAGGAGTAGAACCTCCAACCTTTTGGTTAGCAGCTGAGTGTGTTAACTGTTTGGGGACTCCACTGATAAAGATAGATATAATTTAATATCCTTGGCCCATGCTATTGGACATTAAGGTGGTTCTGATATTTGCTATTACAAACATTGCTGCAGTGAATAAAATGAACTTGCAAATACATAACTTTATACAAGTAAATTTGTAGGGTAAATTCCTAGAAGTAGAATTGCTGAATGAAAGAGTATATGCATGTGTAATGTTTCACAGATATTGACAACTGGTCCTCTGTTAAAGGTTGTCCGAAGTGTACACTCCCACCAGCCATGTATGAGAGTACCTGTTCTTCCACAATTATCAGACAACAAAGTGTTATCAAACTTTTCAATAGATGTTCATCTAATAGGTTAAAAAAAAAATCACATTGTAGTTCCTCTTATGATGAATGAAATTGGGTGGCTAGTCATATGTTTGAAGGCAAGTGTTTTCTTCTCTGAACTGTTTCTATCCTTTGCCCCATTGTTCCATTGGATTGTTAAGTTTTTAATTGATTTGTAAAATCTCTTTATATACCGAGGAAATTTGTCCTTATGCAGAATATGAGTTCAAACATGTTTCTAGTTCATATTCTTGTTTTTATTTTAATTTGGTTATATTGTTTTTGTGACAGTTTAGGAAAGAATGAGGTAGCCAAATTATCAGTCTTTTTTTTTTTTT